GAGAAATCCCGATTCGAACCAGGAGCACCCGCCGTCGATTTTTGAGTTTTCCGGCGGGGAAAACCGGTAGGTCTTGACCGGGACGTCGAGACAAAGCCAACGGAACCGGTGCCGAGGGCTGGGGTGGCCGGATGTGGTGGTGGCGTAGATATTTTTGCTCGGGTGAACAGTGACGAGAGAGAGAGTTCGCGGGAGAGAGAGAACGCACGGGAGAGAGAGAGAGAAAGAATGAACTGAAAATGTAGAATGTCAAATTATTCAAGATAAAGAAAAAAAAAAAAGAAACTAACAGCCAATTGTATTTGAAAAATAATAAAATATTCATTTGACATTTTGCTTTTGGGATGTCAAAAGTAATGATTGAACCTTTATGTCACATCCCGGGATCGGCTCCGCCGGAGCACGATATTGTCCGCTTTAGGCCCCTCTCTCTGCCCTCACAATTTTGTTTCTGGGAGCTCACGAGCAACTTCTCAGTGGGTCACCCATCCTGGGATTGCTCTAGCCACCAACTCGCTTAACTTCGGAGTTCCTAAGAATCCGAAGCCAGTGAGCTCCGAAAAGGCCTCGTGCTAGGAAGAGAAGTGCCCACACATTTAAGCACTTCACCTTTCCCTCCACGAGCGATGTGGGATTGCTCACCGTTCTTGTTTCCCCAAGACACGGGTCTTACAATCCACCCCCCTTGGGGCTCAGCGTCCTCGCTGGCATACTTCCGGTCGGGGTCCGGCTCTGATACCATTTTGTCACGACCCGACTCCCCTAGCACGATATTGTCCGCTTTGGGCCCCCCTCTCTGCCCTCACGGTTTTATTTCTGGGAGCTCACGAGCAACTTCCCAGTGGGTTACCCATCCTGGGATTGCTCTAGCCCCCAACTCGCTTAACTTCGGAGTTCCTAAGAATCCAAAGCCAGTGAGCTCCCAAAAGGCCTCGTGCTAGGAAGAGAAGTGCCCACACATTTAAGCACTTCACCTTTCCCTCCCCGAGCGATGTAGGATTGCTCACCGTTCTTGTTTCCCCAAGACACGGGTCTTACAGGTAGCGCCCGTCGGCTTCGGCCGTTTCGACCTCGTCGGTGATTTCGGCCGATGATACTTGCATCGTCATTCCTCGCTCGGTCAAAACCGGCAGGGTACGCCTCTCGATTCTTATCACGCGATCGTGGTCGCTGTCCGGAATGTTCACACCTGATGCTACCTGGGCCATCTCATTGGCCTCATGGTTTTTGGTGCACGGCACGTGAACGAAGGAGATCCTAGAAAACTCGCGAGCTGTATTGAGGGCCGTTACATAATACATGGTTAAATTCTCGCTCGTGCACTGGTATTCCCCGGTCAATTGGTTAATTACTAGCGGAGAATCACCGTAGACCAGGACACGGGTTGCCTTTATTTCTTTTAGAATTTCAAGACCGATGATGAGCGCTTCATATTCGGCCTGATTATTGGTGCATTTGAAATCAAGTTGGAACGCGAATTGCCATCTTTGTCCTTGGGGGGACTCGATCACGACCCCGGTGCCAGATCTGGTCTCGGTACTAAAGCCATCGAAGTACATGGTCCAGTAGTTCTTCTCCATGCGAGCCATGCCGATCTCGACCTCCAACTCTTCTATCTGCCCTTGAGCCGGGTGGTGGGCCAAGAAATCGGCCAATGCCTGACCTATGATTGACTTCTGAGCCACATATTGGAAGGAGAATTCGAACAATGCCATCGTCCACTTCTAGATTCGGCCGCGTATGATCAGCCGAGTGAGCATGTATTTGATGAGGTCGGTCTTGGAGATGATCTGAACTACCGAAGGAAGCATATAATGGCGCAACTTGGTAGCCGTGAAATAAAGTGCCAAGCATAATTTCTCGATCGGTGAATAGTTTAGCTAGGCCATGTTAAGGGTGCGGCTCAGATAGTGTACTGCTTGTTCCCCCTCAAACTTGTTGTTTTGAGCCAGCAGACAACCGATAGAGCCCTCTGAAGCCGAAATGTAAAGACTCAAGGGTTTCCCTCTTTTCGGCGGTATAAGGACCGGTGGTTGAGATAAATATTTCTTGATGTTGTCGAGGGCCGCTTGATGTTCTGCCCCCCACACAAACCGTTCCGTGTCTTTCAGTTTGAGCAGAGGAGTCAACGGCCAGATTTTCCCTGCCAAATTGGATATGAACCGTCTTAAAAAGTTGACCTTACCGAGGAAGGACTGGAGTTCCTTCTTGGTCCTTGGTGGGGGTGCTGCCATAATGGCCGTGGCTTTATTTTTATCTATCTCGATCTCTCGTTGGTGAACCAAGAAACCGAGAAAGTTCTCGGCGGTGACGCCGAAAGCATATTTTTTAGGGTTCATCTTTAGGCCGTGTGCCTGCATTCTATCGAAAGCCTGTAGGAGATGCACCACGTGGTCGACTTTGGATGGGTATTTTACAACAACGTCGTCGATGTAGACTTCAACGGTTCGGCCAATTAGGTCGTGGAAGATAAGGTTCATAGCTCGTTGGTACGTTGCGCCGGCGTTCTTCAGGCCAAATGGCATGACTACCCATTCATAAGTGCCGATTGCACCTGGACATCTGAACGCCGTTTTGTGGACATCTTCCTCGGCTATGAAGATTTGGTTGTAACCAGCGTGGCCGTCCATGAAAGACAGGAGCTCGTGCTTCGCGGCTCCGTCCACCAGGAGGTCGGACATAGGCATGGGATACTCGTCCTTGGGGGTCGCGAGGTTTAGATTTCTGTAGTCGGTGCAAACCCTCAAAGTCCCAGTCTTTTTCAAAATTGGTACGATGTTAGCCAACGTACCGAGCTGTGCGGATGAAGCCGGCTTTAAGGAGCCGTTCAATTTCATCTTTGACCTTAAGCTGTACTTCGGTCGTGAATTGCCTCGGCGACTGTTGGAAAGGCCTAAACCCCTCCCTAATCTTTAGTTCGTGCTCGACCAAACTTCTTGGCAATTCTGGCATCTCATGATAATTCCAAGCAAAACAATCCTTATATTCATGAAGCAGGCCGATAATCTCAGCTGCTAATTCAGGGTTCAAAAGCTGGCTTACAAAATGAGGCTGTGGTTCGGGCTCGGTCCCTACATTTATTTCTAATAACGGGTCCTAGACCTCGGGGTAGTCATCCTCCATCTCGGCGGGCGCCGTCTTCAAGTTGCCAAAGGCTAAAGTGTCCGCCTCATCTGATTCGTGGAGGAATTCGATTAGGTTGATCGGCGAGTTTGGCTGTAAGGATTCCTCTGCCCAATGTTCCAGCAGTCTTTCCAGCAGGTCGGTCACGGCCGCCGCTCCCTCTTCTTTAGTAGCTTTGTCTGTCATCTAAAGGCTCGTGAGGTCGATCAATACTTTTCGCGCCGAATCCTATCGAACATTCTCGGCACCCAACTCCAGCACTTTCTAGGCCGTTGTCCTAGTTGGTCGGCCGCTCGCATCGTGGTCGGTGAGGACAACCTATCCAATATCGTCGTCATAAATCCGTGCTTGCACGACATTGGTTTCGAAGGATTTTTCGTAGGCCAAGCGTATGGATACCTTCTGGCCGTCCCAAAAGAACAACAGTTGGAAGAGGGAGGACGGTATGCATCCGGACTGATGGATCCAGTCACGACCGAGCAATATATTGTAGTCCACACTGGATTCGACTACGTAGAAGGCCGCGACTCTTGTCTGGTCGGCCATGGTGATTTTCAACAGCAATACCCCGATGGTCTTAGATTTATCACCGACAAAGCTGCTCATGACCATGTCGCTGGGGATGAGGTCCTCCTTTGACTTATCCAGCTTCTTCATCAGGGAATAGGGAAGGATGTTGACCGTCGCCCCATAGTCAACGAAGACCTTGGACACGGGCACACCCTCTACATGAGCCAAGATGTACAACGGCTTGAAGTGTCAGTATTTGTTTGGCTCGTCTCTGGGTGTTACCTCGTTAAAAGCCACGACCAACAACTCTTACTTTGTTTTTGGCTTTTGATCAAGCTACTCCTCGGCCACGTTATTATCCAAGCCGTTAGTCTGGCCTCCTAGGGCTGAAAACTCGGACGGTAGCACCAAGACCATGTTCATACTGACCTCATTTGGCTCCTGCTGCTTTCCCCCACCAGCTTCCTCTTCGACCTCATAGCCCCCACCAGCTTCCTCTTCGACCTCATAGCCGCCCCACCAGCTATCTTTTCCTCAACCATCCTGAGGATCCCCTCGTATTCCTCATCGGAGATTCCTAACGTGGAGTCGTCTTCGGCCTCGTGTCTAAAGAAAGGGTCGTCGGGGCCCTCGACCATAGGCCTTGCAGTCCCAGGGGTATCGTCCGTGGATGCTTTGATCTTAGGGGGATCCGAGGCCTCGACCTCCTCCTCGAGGGCTCGTCTAGCCTTAGCTAACGTATCCTTGGCCGTTAAGTAGTCGTCCAGAGGGCTTGCCCGGGCCCTTTCTTCGGTCGTCAGACCGAAGAGAGTGTCGGCTGGAGTCACAGTAAAATATTAGGGGAGATATTCTAAGTCGCTCATGCTAAAAAGGGTCTTGTCCTCCAACCTTCCCTGATTGGGTCGGTAACCTAGCATCCCTCTTGCCCTGGCCTCTTGGTTTGCCTGGGGTATGGCCTTAATGGCCGAGTCAGATCTGCTGGTAATGAGGAGCCCCTCCGTCTTAGCGTTTTAGAGAGTCAACTCCACGATTTCACGGTTCTCAGGGGTCATGCTGTATAGGTCGGTGGCCGAGTGGTCCTTATGGAATTCCATGAGAAAGGACAAACCGTTGGCCGAAAAAGGAGGGGTCTCTTCCGTGGTAGACGTTGATGATACCCTTATCTGTTTTCTCCAGGGCCGCGGCTGCCACTCCGCGGGGATAACTGTCCTGCCTAGGGCGCCATGTCCTTTGAGGCTTGATGCTGGCAGCCTTTGCTGTAAGGGGAACGATTGGTACGGATGGTGGCTCGTCTGAGGTCGCCATTTTCTTTTGGCGTTTTAATCCCTCGACCTGGCCCGTCTGTATCCTGGCCTGCTGCACTTGTCTCTGCATCCTTCTCAGCTGGATTTTTGTCAGCGGTTCGGCGCTGCCCCAAGGTTGTGCATGATACCAACGGTAATCCCGTACTACCGGTGGTTTGAAAGTCTTCACCGGCCTAGGAGCGGCTTTATCTTTGTGGCCCGTCGAGGTATTGGGGTTTCGTGCCCCTAGTCGGTCGAAAACAGCTCTGCTTGCTGGCCGACGGTCGTACTGGCCGCCGAATTTCTTCATAGCCGGTTGAGATGGCTCAGCAGCCTTTCTTCTTGCACCGACTGCACGGTACCGGTTCTGGTTCGGCCAACGGCTCATTTCCTTTTACTGGCCGACGAACTTCCCTATATTTGGCCCGGAGCTGAGCGTTGACCATGTTGATGACAGGTGGAAGGAATGGCTTGGAGTCGACTTGCATGGCCGTCTTTTTCGGGAATTGGAGCTTCTTTTCGTCTATCAACTTCTGGATGACGTCTCGTAGAACAACGCAGTTGTTGGTGTTGTGAGACCAAGAACTGTGGTATTTGCAAAACGTCTTTCCTTTGAGCTATTCGGGCTTCGGAATTTTATGGCCGAAGGACAATTTGACCTTTTTCTCGGTCAACAGTAGGTCAAAGATAGCTTCGGCCCTGGTCAAATCAAAAGTGTAGGCCTTCGTTTCTCGAGTCGCGAACTTGGCGTCGGGAATCTTTGTACAATTATTGTCGGCCTTGACAAGTCCTTTGCAGACGAATGGTTTGTCTATGCTAACTTCGGCTAAGCTTATCTCAACTTCGTCGCTCTCGGCCTCTGTGGGGCCGTCTGCTTCGGCATAGCTGACCACAGGATTCCGATAGTAAGTCCCTTTTGAAGCAGTCCTCTTATGCACCTCTTCTTTCAACAAGGATGCGTATCGGTCTACCTTGTTGATCAAGTCGTGCATGTCCCGGAATTCAATTCCTTGGAATTTCTTTCGGTATTCGAATTCCAATCCTTCTTCGGCCATCTTGACAAATTCCCTTTCCGGTAGGTTCATGCGACACCAGTTCCTGCACGTTTTGAACCGCTGCAGGTAGTCGCGAGGTGATTCGTCTGATGCCTGGCTCATCCTTGCCAGCTCGGCGACCGTTATTTCTCGGTTGGTCTGATATAAATGCTCGTGGAATATCCTTTCCATGTCAGACCAATCCCTCACCGAATTTGGTGGAAGGTTTATGAACCATGAGAACACCGCGCCGGTTAGAGAGTGAACGAATAAACGGAGCCTCTGGGCGTCCGAATCGGCCTCTCCGCACTGGGCCGTGAAGTGGCCTATGTGTTCAATGGAGGAGGTCTACCCATCCCCGGAGAATAGAATGAATTTTGGCAACCGATAATTCCAGGGAAAAGGTGTTCGGTCAATTTCTGGTGGGTATGGTTTGGTATACTTTGGCGCTTCCCGGTGCCTTTGAGCCAGGCCGTCTTCAATCATTCACCGGACGTCTTCGAATCGGAGCCCCTGAGGGGGCACTTCTTGCTGGGTTGGAACCGGGCGCAGAACTTGTTGCCTCTCGTTCTACGGCCTTATCTGCTGGGCCATTTGAACGGGGGGTTCGACCGTTGCGACCGAGCCGGGCGGCACTAGATAAGCGTCGTAGGTTTGACCAGGGTGCGTATGTGTTGCTGTTGGAATGGCCAAACCGCACTGAAGGTGGAAGCCTGACGGAAATAACGACGCCTATAATAGTGAAACGGTTGGATTGCTCTGACC